CCCCTTTTCTGCTATCTGCTGGAAGTAATGGTCTCATGGATCCCTCTAGGAGTGAAGGGAGTAAAAGATCACTGTTGAGTAGAGCATCAGAAGACCTCCCTTTAATCTTGGCTCAGCCTTTTGCTGACTCTATGGCTTTGGGCCAGCCATTTCCTCTCTTTTTTGGGTTTCACTTTCCTCATCTCTAAAATTATGGGATTGAACTAAATGACCTCTACAGATCCTCCCAGGTACAAATCTATCTGTTCTAGCATTTAACAAAATAAAATAAAACAAAAAAACAGAATTTGTCTGTCCCTCACCTTTCCTCACTATCTTCCTATTTCCCAACTTAGATCTGGACTTCTTTCATTGAGTTTTCCGGAAGGGAAAGAATTAAAATTCTCATTAAAACAAATGATTGACCCATTTTTTTTTTCCAACAATGGAGGCTCATTTGCATATCTCTGATAAAAACCACTAATTTCATGAATAGATCCATATTCACTTACTTCTTTGAAGAGATATTTTGTTACTGAGATGAAGGTTTTGTTTACATGAAGTTCAAAACATCTACTTCATAATAGAGGGTTGATCTTCAAAAAAGAGTAGCAATGCCCAAAGCCTCTGGAATCACAAAATGTAATTGTAAATCTTTGTAGTTGCTAACTTGGATTTCTTCCTATATACTTTGTTGTTTTGTTTTTTTTTTTTTAATCCCAGAAGCCATATTTGAATTTAGCCAACATTCCTTAAATTTTCCTGAACTGACAAGCTTCAAAAAAAATTTCAAGCCCTTGCTAAAAGAGATGGAAGATATGTAGGATGACAACCAGGATTTTGACTCCACTACAAAATGTAACCTTTCTGTGAATAGCTTAAATCAAACAGGTTCTTAGCTCTAGCAAGCAATAGTGTGATAGCACTACCAAAAGGTCCTTCAGTGTCAGAGGTGTGAATTGCTTCCCTACTTCATCCTTCACAGGCATGTGCCCTGGCCACATATGTTCCCTTAATGTTTGACCCTCATGGGTGATCTCTATACACATCAACTTTCTCCACTGGAGGGGTGTGTGTGTGTGTGTGTGTGTGTGTGTGTGTGTGTGTGTATGTGTGTGTGTGTGTGTTTGTGGGAGGGTGTACCTTAATTTATGATGGGGAGGGGGTATAGACTGTTCTACTACAACTTTTCTTAATACACTATTTCATTAAATGATTTAATATTTATTTTGTTTTCTAGCTGACTAGAGTAAAAAGAAAGTTTTATCTGCTGATGGGGCCCTAGATATTGCACTATCATGTAGTATAGGGAATACATAAATATTTTTATGCTGTGAAGACATGGTGACAGGTTTTGACATTTCCACATAGGAGAAAACAAAGAAATTTGATGCCCTCAGATTGTTGTCATCAGATATTAATTAATATGGGAAATAAGACTTGTTCTTCAAAAAGAGAGTATGAAAATCTCAATTGAAAATTCCCATGACATATTTGGACTGAATCATCTTTCCTCTAGTGAAGTTACTTGTATTTCCCTTTTAATGCATTTTCAAAGACTTATATGGTAAACATTTAAGAAGGTGTTAACTGTAATTCCATAACTGGCACCCAGGATGCTATCATCATTTCACATCTAGGAAAGTAAGTGCACCTTTAAAACTGATCCCAGGGATCCAAGCATCCCATCTTGACAAGCCCATCCCCACTTTCACTGGTTGGGCAATGAATACCAGAGGGTATCTTTGACTACTACACTTCTCTGACTCCTCACTTCCTCAAAGTTCTAGGGGTAACTGAGGGTCTGAAGTGTCTAATAATGTCACTCACAAGCCCCTGCTGTTACGTGCTTGCCATGATTAGTCAATGTACTCAATTAGTTTTTAATGAAGGTTATTTAGTGCAGTGGTAGATATAGAGAGAACCATTGGTATAAAACATTTCCCCCAAACTGAGGGTGTACTTTCTTCTTATATTTTCAAAGTCCTTGAGTGGACAGAGTTCAAACTTAAGGTACAAATGTATTGGGGCACAGGAGTAGTGAACATGTATGGATGGTCAAAGTGTAAACATACATCTCCTGGTTAACAGAAGTACTTTTTTGTGCCTATGTTCTACATTCTTTTCTGATTCAAAGGGTCACACTCCTTGAAGCTATTTCTTGACTCAGGTGCATGTATTCCCATATTTATCTATATCTGTGTTTGTCACTGGTTTGTCCCTCTCTGCTCCTAGCTGGTTGCATTGTTTCCTATTGGTCCTTTCTAATCTTTCTATTAAGTGGTTGTTGGGGAGAGGACAGTTCCTTTGGCTTCGCTTCACCCATCCTTTGCTCCTTTCTGGTACAGGAACTGCCTCCTAAAGATGTTCCTGAGCCTGTTCACCACCGCTCGACTGTCTCACTACTGAACTGGTATTGAAATTTCTCTCCATTTTAAAGCTCCTAGAGACATGGCTGGTTTGTTTGGTTAGCCAATCATGCTGTTCCCTTCTTGACCTAATTAAACAGGAGTTCACATCTGACAAAGGGGTCACCTGTAATCATATTGACACATTAAAAACAAACAAACAAACCCAACAACAACCCTAACCTAGTCTGGTAACTATTGAGATGGGAATTTTGAATCACTTCTCTTTCACAGGGAAAAATAACATAAAAGGTATCTGAAAGAAACTCTTTCAAAGGAGATAGATAGCCAAGGTCATATGACAAGAAAGAAGAAACAGGAGGACAGAACAAAGAAATCACAAAATTGAGATGAACAATATCGTAAAGCTTTTTTTTTTAAACACTGTTTCCCTTCACATTATTTTACAGATGAGGAAAGCAAGATTTTTTTAATATCTTGTCCAGTGTTCTTTCTACTATAAACTTTTATAAGGCCTTAGATTTTAGAAAGAAAAATATGCCCAGTTTCCTTCAATGAGATAAAACAATATGAGAAAATGCTGAGGATTTCATGGTGAGGAATGAGTATAAAGAAAGAGAACACAATCAGTAGATGATTTAGACGCTACATAGAACAAACAACCACTGATTGACGAAGGACAACATTTCAGGTAGGGATGCCCAGCTTCACCAAAGGCCACTCATAAGAGGTGGCTAGAGTTTATGGTGAAAGAATGAAGAGAAATTCTCTTATCGTTTTCTAGGAATTGTCATAGAAAAAAAAAACAACTAGCAGGATCAGCCTTGTGAATGAAAGGGAAAAAATGGGGCTCAAATATGCCACCCTTTTCTCTCCTGAATTTCAAAATAATATGAAGTCAAAATATTGCTGATTCCTGGGATCACAGACCTTCCATTTGGAAGAGCTCAGGAGGATAGAGAATTCTGGCATTAAAACTCTTCACAAGTATTCAGGAGACCTCAGTTTGTTTTGGGGTTCCAGTGGCCTTGAGGAAGGAACATTTCCTCCAGTTTGGGGGTGTCAGGCAGAGAGGCAAAAGTGAACAGAGAAAGAAGGAACATAGACACATGACCGTTATTGGAGGTGAGACCAGGCAGAACTGGCAATTGAAGCAACTGGTGAGAGTGGTTCTAGTCAGCCACCACATTCTTCACATTGTTTTTCCCAAAATTTAAATCTTTTTTTTTTTTTTTGGCAGGCAGTGGGGTTAAGTGACTTGCCCAGGGTCACACAGAATTCAGATCTTTATAGTTTTCTTTAGAACTCTGTATCATGGAAGTTGAGAGGGTATTTGAATGTTTAGCTACATTTTTAATTTTAGTTGATACTGCTAACAAATTACATGACAATTAATTGCTATTTTGCCTAAGATTGAAAGAGAGGAAACTTTTTCACAGGGTCTCTTTTTAGTGTTTTTCTAGGTTGGGAGTTCGAGGCAAATAGTGAGGAAGTTTCTGCAAACTGGGTAAATTCTGAGAGTATTCCAGAACATGCCCACTAGACTACCTTTGAACTCAGAGAAAATTACTAAGGAGGTAGGCCAGTAGGGGAGAAGGGTGGTTGGTGTGGTTGTCCCTGAGTGTATTTGAAAGGCCAAGAATTTTATAATTAAAAGCAATTTCACCCTTGGATTGATTTGGTTATGCATTAGTTCACTCTTGTACATGATTGGATCTATGGTTGGAAAATCCTGCAAACCCCTTCATCCTTTATCTACCCTGTCCATGTGAGATGGTTTGTGTGACCATTATTCAAAAGACTCAAGGCTTCTACCATATCAGCAGAGTTCTCGGTAGTATTTTTGTTAGTATGTTGTCCTTCGTCAATCAGTGGCTGTTTGTTCTATGTAGCGTCTAAATCATCTACTGATTGTGTTCTCTTTCTTTATACTCATTCCTCACCATGAAATCCTCAGCATTTTCTCATATTGTTTTATCTCATTGAAGGAAACTGGGCATATTTTTCTTTCTAAAATCTAAGACCTTATAAAAGTTTATAGTAGAAATATATAGTAGAATAATAATTTTAAGAAATATTTGTAGTCCATTAAGCCCCTCAGACTTGTTTCTAAAGCAGCATGATGAGATAAAAAAGCTTGTGAATCTGGAAACAGAGGATCTGGATTCAAATCCATTCTTTATCATTTGCTATCTGTACAGAAATGAGAAAATAGCAACTTTTCTAGGCCTTACTTCCCTCATCTACCACCCTACAAAATAAGAAGGTTTCATTAGATGATTTTTAAGATCGCTTCCATTTCTAAATCGATGACCAAATGATTTAAGAACTCAGAGCAAAAGACAGTTGAGGACTGAAATATTTCAAAGGATTTTCTATGGCCTAGGACACTAGGAGACATACTAAAAAGAAATCAGTTTATTAGACAGCTCTTGAAGCAGGAAAGACATGTTTGTTAAGATAAATAAAATCAGCATTCTTTACTACTGGCTGTGCATCAGTTTTTTTCTCATCTTCAAGAAAAGATCAAGTAGTTATTTTCCAGATTGTTTTCCATTTAAGATGGAATCAACTGCATTTAAAGACTGTTTTTTTACAGGGACTTCTTCTTCCCCCACTGACTTGTATGTTCTAAATTATTAATCTCTTCAGCTTGCAGTGTCTGAAGGAACCAAGTCAAAGCTACTTGAGCAAGTGTCCTGGCTAGAGGAACAGCTAGAGGCAGCTGACAATAGGGAGGCAAGGGGGGAACCATACGAAGAAATCATGCATGCCAAAAACCAGGTATGTAACAAGGGAACTCATCTACTCTGCCCCACATCAATGCTCAAATGGCCTCTTCATTAATAAAACCTCCACCCTTCTAGGAGCTAGAAGAAAAAGGAGATTTCTGCTAAATTATTTTTTTCTAGGGCACAAATTAGAATTTAAGGTCATGATTGAAAAGATTAGTAAATAAATTTTTAATTTCCTTGCAAGGCATCATATTTTCTGTTGAAAAATCACATAAAAATTCAAAAGTTACTTAAAAAAAAACTTATTTGTCCTTCAGCCAGTATTAATTAAATTCTTTGTATTCTGTAACTATCATGAATGGGATACCATTTTCCTTAGTACACAAGATTGTAAAGTTCTTTTCATGTAATAAAATTCCTAAAAATTGGAGTTATTAAAATTGGAGTTAAGGAGTGCATTTGAAAAATGAGTTCATCTTTGATCCCTCTGCTAATTTATGTGAATGGATCATTTTGTTAGCTTGTTTTTGCACATCATTATCTATTCGAAGTGAAATAAGAAATGAAAAATCAAATATAAATATATATATATATTTAATATAAGATATGAAAGCCAGAAGCAATTGTATCATATTAGACCCAATTTCTTCTAAATTGATTTTTTCAAATGATCACAGCAGAATTATTGATGATGATGATGAGGAAGAGGAGGAGGAAAGAATGCTGAAGGCAGGGATGGTACAGGAGACAGGTTCTTATAATGATAGTTTCTTAAAATAATGGTTCCCATGATAGTATTTCTAGCATAGATAATTCTACCATTCACAAGTTCACAAGATCAACACTTTTTTCATAGCCAACATGTGATGTTATATGTGATGTTATGTACTTGACACAATTCATGTGCGCCAACAAACTTGTCAAAGTGAGCATGCTAGCAGATATTTAACAAATGGTTCTCTGAAAAAAATGTACACACGACGCACATTTAATATGCATTGTTAACATTTTCTACATAGCTTTCTCATATCTAGATAGTCAACAAAATAATAAATCAAGTTGATTTTTTTTTTAGCATTTTCTGATTTCTAAGGTGTAAATATTCACACTGAAAATTGAACAATCAGCTTTCATCAGATTTAAGATTGTTCTAGCACATACTTGGTGTAAAGATTTATGTTTTGAATTTTAAAACAAAACCTGAAACAAGAAGGAATGTGTTTCATTAAATTTTGGCACACAGTTTCCTTCTTTTGGCTTCTTTCCAAAATATTCCTTACTCTCTTTTCCCAATTCTATTCAGCAATGAGCAAGTACATCAGTAGGCAATTTGAATTCAATGATAAAATGATGATGCATGGTACATTCACTGCATGTTTGAAATTTAGTTTGCCTTTTCATTCTATCTGATATTGAATAGTTAACTATTAAAAGACACAAAATGAGTCTTCTCCCCCTTTGTTTTTCTTAGAACCTTTTTGAAAGTAAAATTTTGTAGTTTAAAATTAATTATTTTTGAAATTTTCAGTGGCTATTTCATTTTTTATTTTAGAAAGATTAGTTATGCTTTTTTTGGAGGGGTGGGATAATCAGTTTTTTTCTTTGCCTGTCAAATCACCTCTTTTTTTTTACAATGAAGTGAAAAAGTTCAGCTATTAAAAAATTTTCCCCTCTTTTCAGTGCATAGAGAAATTACAAGCTGAAGTCAAAGCTTCACAGGAACAACTTGCTGCTCATGTAAGTTTTCCCATTTCTTTCTTTCTTTTTCTGCAATTATCTGTTTCTATATTTGTAATATTTGAACCATGTAAATAAAGACATTGCTTTCACTAACCATATATATTTTTAACTGCTTAAAACATTAACAGAAATACTTATGCAGGATGGCTATAAGTGAGCTATAGAGTAAAATAGATTTATCCTGTGAGCGTACTGAATTATAATATCTTGAATTTTAAAAAATATTTGTAATAATTCAGAACTTCAATAATTATTTTTATAGAAATAGAATTCTAATTTTCAATTGTCACAAAATCCAAGTGACACAGGTACAGGAAAGCAGGGGTTGATGAACTTTAAATAAGTAGCTAGAAACTAAGGGGAAGAAGAAGAAAGATTAAAGGCTAAGATTAGGATGGAGTTAAATTGTGGAGTATTTTAGGATCATGAAACTGCACTGTCTCTCAAAAGGTCATCTCTGTTTTCCTAACTTCAGGCAAATGAATGTTTAAACCTTCTAGAATATAACTGTTTAATCTGTGGTTAATAGAGCAAGGATGTAACTTCAATAACCTTCCATATAGATTTTAATTAAACTCAACTTCCTTTATTTTGCTCCACTTTGGATATGATAAACTTGATTAGCATCCCTCTTCCTTTGGGGAAAAAAGTCTAAATACTGGCAGTATTAAATATTGGCATACAATAATCTCATCAACATTTAAACTATCCTTCCAATGCCTTTAATCTTTCTTCAAGAACCTACTTTCCATCCTTTTCATAATCCTATCTTCATACCTTCTATGCTACCAAAAAGATCACTTCCTAGTATACTATATTCATATATAAAATGGGGATAATAAAATGCACACAACCTATGTTATATGACTGTTGTGAGGATCAAATTAAATCATATTTCTAAAGTGTTTTTTAACTCTAAAACATATAAATGTTAGATATTAGTATTATTTGAATTGTTTTGTTATTTCTCTCCACTGGAGAAGAATCTGCAATACTTCCTTGTGTCCTACTATGTACATGAAATCCTAACTTGGAAAGGCAGCGTGGTGTAGTAGAAAGAACAATGGATTTGGACTTTAAAAGAACTGAGTTTGAATCCTGGCCCTACTACATGATCTTAGGCAAATCATTTAACCTCCCTAGGCTTCAGTTTCCTCATTCTTAAAATGAAAGAATCTGACAAAATTATTGCTAGAGTCTCTTCTAATATGACATTCTATGCTCCTCAATCCAAGATGATTGCACTGTACTCACTCAATATTATTTCCTTCTTCAACTCAATATATTCTCTTAGTTCAGTAATACAGGTACTCAATAGTAATGCCACAGTAATTTTCATCTCCACACCTTAGTTCAAACTATTCCACTTTCCAAATATGTCCTTATGACTTTCTCTTTTATTGCCTAGCCAAATCCTTCCCAGCATGTTCTCTTTTCTTCATAAGTCCTTTTTTTCTGACTCCTACAGTCTGTGCTGATCTCCTTCCCCCACTGGTTGTTATATCTATGTTAGTTTTCTTTAGAAAATATATTTTAAAGGGAATATTAATTATTTTCAGGCAGCTAGGTGGCACAGGGGACAGAAGGCTAGGCCTAGAGTCAGGAAGATCTGAGTTCAAATCCAGCCTCAGACATTTACTAGATGTGTGGCCCCTGTGCAAATCACTTAAGCCTGTTTGCTTCAGTTTCCTAATCTGTAAAATGAGCTGGAGAAGGAAATGGCAAACCACTCCAGTATCTTTGCCAAGGAAACCCCAAATGGGATCCCAAAGAGTCGGACATGACTAAAACAACAAAACAACAATAAACAGGTCTTGGGTATGTGAAACACTACTCATTTATTTTGGATCTTGGCTGATCAGTTTGACCAATATTGGAAATGACCATTTCATCCTCATTTATTGGTGCTGCTAATATATCCAGGATCCATGTCATGGAACTAATAGACTGTAATAAGGGTTTAATGTAATTTTTTTGGTAATCTGAGACCCAATTGCCTTTGGGTAAGATCTAAGATGGAACTGCCTTTTGTAGATTTTACTTTTTAGTCAATGTTGTTTTAGTAAGGTTCAAGCATTACAGCTAATTTAAAAAATTCTGTGCCAAGATCACATGTATATAGTAATTTTCATCATTCCACAATTCAACCTAATTAATACCTGTGATATAACTGCACATGATTTCATGAAGCCCTTAAAAAGTGACTTTCCTAATTGGAACGCTAAGGCATTGTTGGTAGAGTTGTGAACTGATCCAACCATTCTAGAGAATAATTTGGAACTATGCCCAAAGGGCTATAAAACTGTGCATACCCTTTGACCCAGCAATAGCACTTCTTAGGGCTGTATCCCAAAGAGATCATAAAAATGGGAAAAGGACCCACATGTACAGAAATATTTATTAGCAGCTCTTTTTGTGGTGGCCAAGAATTGGAAATTGAGGGGATGCCCATCAATTTGGGAATGGCTGAACAAGTAGTGGTATATGAATGTAATGGAATATTATTGTTTCATAAGAAATGGTGAGCAGGTGGACTTCAGAAAAACCTGGAAAGACTTGTATGAACTGATGCTGAGTAAAGGGAACAGAATCAGGAGAATGTTGTACACAATAACAGCCATATTGTGAGAAGACTAACTTTGATAGACTTAGCCCTTCTCAGCAATGCAAGGGCATAAGACATATCCAAAAGTCTCATGATGAAAAATGCTATCCACATCCAGAAAAAAGAACTAAGGAGTCTCAATGCAGATTGAAGCATACTATTTGCTTTCTTTTTGTTGTTGTTTCTTCTTTCTTGTGGTTTCTCCCATTGGTTCTAATTCTTCTTTACAACATGTGAAAATGTTTAATATGAATGAATATGTATAGCCTATATCAGATCTTGGGGAGAGGGGAGGCGAGGAAATGAAAATTTAGAACTCAAAATCTTATAGAAATGAATGTTGAAAACTAAAAAAAATTATTAATTAAATTTTTAAAAATACTTTTCTGAGGTTACCCATATGGCACCTGTGTTCTACTTTTGTGCTTTGTGAGCATATTTGCAAAAAAGAAAAACACTGCAGCAGTGGTCTCTAATGTAAATATTATATGTATTTATCTGCATATCTATATACATATACAAATATATATGGCACCACCTTACTTATCTAACAACCTCAGTTATTTGGATTACTACTGAGAACCAGGAAGTTAAAAAAAAAAAGACTTCTTACCAGTCAAAATAGATAACCATGTCCTAAAGCTTAAGCACTTTACTCAAAGAAAAGCAACCCCTCCTCTGCACCCCACCCCCCCAGCCTTTGCTTGGAAACAATTTACATTTACTTCAAGCCTAAATCCAATGAGTTTGGTTGTCTTCTTTTCAAGCCCACAGCAAATTAAAGATGGTAAAGGAAGACCACTAGCACAGATAAACATATTCATAGCAGTAGGAATATGCCAATAAGGAAGAGAAAGGAAAACTCCAAGAAGCAGATTCAAAAACTCAAAAGCATCCTAAGATTCAGCATAGATGCAAGCAGCTCTTTTCATCTTAGTAGCCCCTGAGTATGATAGATAGATTGTTGTTTGCTAATATATTTATTGATGGTCATAGTCATGACCCTGCATAAGTAAAGGTTAAAGTATGTCCTTTGTTTAAATATCTTCTGTTTAAGAAGACAATGACATGTATAAGGATTTGCATGAGATAAAATAAAAAAAACTATGCAACTTAAAGTGGTCAGTTGAGCTGTAGGACCCACTTGAAATCTACTGTTTAAGTAGCTTCAACATAGGAGAAATGAATTGCAAAACATGGCAAAATGAAGAATATTGTCATATTGATGGGGTTGGAATCTGGGCCCCAGAAAGGAATAACTCTGGCCCTAGACCATTTCCCACCCTTGGTAATTCTATTACCTCATGGACTCTGTACTTCCCAAATCTCTGGCGGCTATAGTCCCATCAACTGGTCTTTCATTGTGGCTATACCCAATCTCCCCTCCATTGTCTTGACTCCCTATGGCTCCAGGCCATTTCCCACCCTTGGTCCCACCTAGGCTCCATTTCCCACCCTTGGGAATTCTATTACCTCATGGACTACTTGGCCACTCTCCCACCGTCTTTCTGTATATAAGGTCTATCTTGTCTCCATTAAGATGCTCAGATTCTTAGAATCTGTCCAATAGCCCATAGATGCTCAGATTCCTTAAGAGTCTAGCTAATATGGCGAATCTTCAATAAAACTTGTTTTTGGCTGCAAGAAGGCTTGGGTTGAATTCTTTCGGGCAGGGCCTGGGTGTCATGATTTTGGGGTGCCAGGACCCCTAACCTCTAGACTGCATCAATATGGAATTACATTTTGTGTAGTAAAAATCTCATTTTATTAGTTAACTATTGAATACTTGTTATGAATTTTAAGGCCTTCCCCACAGACACACAGAGCAGTACACTCACCAGGCAAAACTCTGAGTACCTACTTGATTACTTATCTACTTACAAATAATAAAAACTGATAATGGAAGTGAATGTTTATAATCTCTTAAAAGATAATTGTTCAAATTAACAAATCAGGGCAGATTTAGGATTATGTATCTAGAAGGAGGTGTTCTTTATATCTATATCTATTTTAAACACATACATATATATGCATATATATGTATATATACAAGGATTTGGAAGATAGCAAATCCTTGAAAACTTTGTGTTTTTGCTTATGGACACTTCTGAGAGTGAACATTTAGCCAGTGATCTTGGAGGGCAGAGCAATAGAGAATGATACTTTTATATTCAACTCCCAATGGTCTGTTACCTGATTTTCCAACAATACACAATAGCAGTTGGGGGACACAGTTTAATCATATTGTACCACCCAGGGTTCAACTTCCCTTAATACCTAGCCAGCACCAGGACCATATATCACATCTAAAAAGAAATGTAAGAGAAATATTTAAAATATGATTTATTATAACATAAAGGGTACCCCAAATGTATTTAGGACACCTTGCATT